AACCACCAGGGTTTGACTGAAAATTTAGCCACAGGGCTGTTAAAATTTTTAAAGATATGTTACATTTTTATATATTCCTGAAAGTCCATATTACACTTGTACATAATAAAATGTATAGCTGTTTATTGACTTTATTTTAGTTTGGAAACATGAATACATTGTGTACTATTTATTTAGGCAGTGTAATGAGTTACTCCCTTTCTTCAGACATTTTAATATTTTATACTCTTGTATTTTAAAAAGTACAAGAATTCTGGTTACCCACCACAGGAAAAGTATATAGGATCAGTAGAAATTTATGTTGCTGTATACTTAGTTGAGAAAGGAAACGAGATTTTCTTTTGCCATTTCTTTCTCCGTATTTATTTTCTTTTTATTAAAAATATCTGTAGTTATTAGAGACAACTGATTAGAAACTCTTGTTTTTCAGACCTGCTTTCAAGTATCATCATGTATGCACCTTTAGTTCTTCAGAGTTGTTCTTCTAAAATTACAGAAACCTTTGACTATTTGTCCTTTCTGCCCCTCCAAACTGTACAAGGACTCCTTAAGGCAGTCCAGGTAAGTCCATTGACTACTCTAAGTAGCTTGCCAAAACAGGTTTAACTGTCTTAGGGAGTCCGATGTGCTTCTTTATACGTATGGCTAAGAAATCCTGTTCCCTTTGATTCTGAAATATGAAACTTGTGTTAAAAGGGTCAGAGCCCTGTGCTAAACTGTTTACCTAGTTCACTCCTTTTTATGTCACTTCTTCGCTTTTGACACATTTTCAAATCAATAATTGGAAATCTCTTAGAAAATTATTAATGGCAATTAATAGGTTTCCAAAGGCATTCACAACTAGTTTCAGTCTAGTATTTCAGAGTATGCTGTTGTCCTACATCTGGAGTATAAACAAGATTGAAACAGATATATAAAACAGAACCAAAGTTCATTGTCTAAGCCAAGTGAAATATGTTAAAACTAATAAATACACTTGTTCAGTTTTTCTCCACTGAATCATCCTCTTTCAGCCCCTTCTCAAAATCAGCATGGCAATGAGAGACTCCCTGATACTCGTCCTTCGGAAAGCTATGTTTGCCAGGTATGTAGCATCTCTTGAATTGTAGGAACTGAATTCTTCTAATGCTGGGACTTAAAGTTACCTTTGCCCTCTCTCAGTACAATCAATTCACAGCACTCATGAAAATTTACGTAACACTTTTATCAAACAAAGTATTGTACTAAGTGCTATACATGCTCTATCTAATTTAATCCTCAGCGCTCCCTTATAAAGTGAGAATGATTCCAATTACTATTTACAGATAAGAACATTTAGACCTTGAGAAGGTAAGTGTCTTTCCAAAGGCCCCACGGTAGTAGGTGGTGGACTGGACACAGGCCTGTGTAACATCAAGAGCTTTTGATCTCAGAGTCTCTGCTGTACCACTCCTAGAATCATCCAAATAAGGTTGCAGTGCCAAATACTCTAAAGCCTGAGCTGGCAACAGTTCAGAAGGAGAAAACACCTTAATTAAGAATATATTCAAGAAACTCATTTTCTCGAACACTGAAATTGTAATCTAATGACTAGTAGGCTGAATAAATTGTTAAGAGGCCCGAGTTCTGTTTGGGATTCAGCCAATGCCTCATGACCTCTCTTTCTGTGTTTCTTAGTATGTAATATACATTAACTAGAAGCAATAATGTTGTTGTTAAGTGCCATCAAGTTGGCTCCAACTCATAGCAATCCTGTATAGAGTTTCCAAGGAGCAGCTGGTGACCTTGAACCGCCAACCTTGCGAATCAAACTGACTTTGCAGTCCAGCGTATTAACCCACAATGTCACCACACCACCTTCTAAAAATACTGAAAACTTGCTGCATTTAAGGGTAATACTAAAAAAAGGAATTGAAAAAACAAACTTGGTGCTTTTAATATCACTGAACGTATTATAATTCACACCTAGGAATCCTAAGGGACAGCTTGTAAGTAGCCATATGCTGTTTTCTCTGTTCTTGAATTGTCATTTTTGGTTACTCCTCACTACATGACTATAGGCTGAGGGCAACATATACATGATTCTAGATGTTGTAGCATCTGTAACTTGAACTAATCATTGAACCTCATTGAGAGGTTATTTTTTTCGATGGTGAGTCTACGCGGCACCATGCGCTGCATTCTAATGTGGATGAATGGAACACAGGCACGGATGCTCCCTTTCAGACACAGTGAAGATCAGTAACTAACTTGACTGTTAATACTCACTTTTGCATTATTAGCCCATTGTAGAGCCTCAGCACTCTTACTGTAATTCCTCACATAGACTAATTAACAGGCTAGAAGAAAGTGCAGATTGTGTCTTGAGGTTAAGTTGTCGTTAAGCGCTGCAGAGTCGCTTCCGACTCATAGCAACCCTGTATAGGGTTTCCAAGGAGGAGCTGATGAGTTTGAACTGCCAACCTTGTAGTTCAAACCGACCTTGAGGTCGAGTGCTCATCCTAGGGCATCACACCAGGACTCCTTGAAGTTAAGTAGGTAACGAAAAAGGTACCTTGGTGGTGCAGTGCTTAAGCATTCATCTGCTAACTAAAAGATTGGTGATTTGAACCCACCAGCTGCTCTGAGGGAGAAAGATGTGAAAAAGCCTCTGAATTCCTGTACTGCTGATTGCTGTCCACAGCTGATGCCTGATTGATGATTTATTTAAAGCTCTTATGAATTGAGTGATAGTTTACATGGGAGAACATTAGTTTTGCACTCAACCAGTTGTACTTTGTGATGCCTTAATTTAAGAATGTAAAGTTAATTAGGTTTGCACTGTCCTTCATTACTTTATATTGCTCTTCTTTGTGTAGAACTAACTGGATTTTTCTGGCCCAGAAAATTAGTGCTGTGTAATCAGAAGTGTTTGTTCATTTCTTGTCTGTCTGTTCCTGAGCCAGCCAGCTTGAGACCCGGAAGTCTGCCGTCGCTGGGTTTTTGCTGCTGCTGAAGAACTTTAAAGTCCTGGGCAGCTTGTCATCCTCTCAGTGTAGCCAGTCTATTGGTGTCAGTCAGGTAAGATAACGTGTCCTGTGTGCACTGATGCCACGCAGGCTGCTTTTGTGTAATCCTGGTCTTCTTATCAAAATGGTCCTGAAACTCAGGGTCCTAGGACAATGCTCATTACAGCAGAGCCGCCGTATGCTAACCTGTGCTCTGAGTATGGCAGCCTTTAGTCTCAGGAGGCTTGATTGAAATGTGCCTGGTCCAAATTGAATTGTATCAAAGGTGCAAAACGTACGCTGGATTTTGAAAACTTAGTGTAAAATAAAAGAATTTAAAATGTCTAATAATTTTTTTTTTTAATTAAATGTTTTTATTTTGCATTGAGTGAAAGTTTACAGGG